CTGGCTTAAAATACTGTTGAAAATAGTTTCCTGAGAAGTATGAGTTGTTTTCTTTTCTCTCCTTTTGACTGTTCAGCTTTGCGTCCTTACCCCTTCACCTCTGTTTTCCACATAGAAAGACCTTTGGTTGGCTCTTTCAACAACATGTGCTGTGTTGATGACCTGAAACTTCTGCTTACGTGTCGTAAATATGAAAATAAGAAATGGAGAGGCAGACAGCACTAAGCCCTGTGGTATAGGTTTGTTGGGGGATGTTGAGGGCTTTTGGTGTGGAAATGATGGGTGGTTAGGAAAACTAAAGGAAGAAACTCCAGATGAGAGAATCATACTTAAAAAGTGTGATGACAGCCTAGAGGTGAAGTTACTCACGTACGGTCACACAGATGGTTATCGACAGTCGAGATAGCAGAGAAATGGGAGTTTTGGGTGTTGATGTAGGATGGGGGAAAGTTCTAGAAGTGTAAGAAGGGCCTGCCCCTGTGCTGCTGCAGGTTGGACTGGAGGGCTCCCTACGAACCCTCCTCTCCGACATAGGAGGAACCGAGTGCAAGGAAAGCTGGAAGGTGAAACTATGAGTATGTTTTCTGAATTTCTTTGATCTTTTTTGGATTTGTCAGTCATAATCAGCTACTATTTTTGAGTTTTGAGAAGGAGACAGAGCTAAGCATTGAAGATTTGGCCACAGAAAGCTCCTATCGGCAACATTATGGGAAACAAAAGTTGATGCTTAACATGTCCATGGCTGAAAAGAGTGACTCCTGCACCTTGCACTTTCCTTGTGTTGGAATAACCGTTTAGTTTCTTTCAAAAGGCTAACTTTTCATGCGAATACATTACCGCCTGAACTCCTTGGTGAAACCAGGCTGGGTCCCCATACATGCATATGGTAAGAGCTATTCTAGCTGAGCGGAGGACCTTGTCCAGTCATTCCTGGAGTAAGTGAAGATGCCTAAAAAGAGTCAGTTGCTTCTAAAAGGGTGAATTTTACGATATGTGAAATATATAAAAAGGAATCGGTTGCCTCAGGACACGGGTTTCTAAAAGCAAGAGAGTAAATGTGTGCACATGTGTACATAAAAATTGTATATAGTTTCTTTAGACGGTGTGAACGGTAACCATTGCTACTGTCTCCGCCACCCTGATACCTAACTACGGAGTGTCTGTTACTTGGTGACATTCTCCTGAAGAGCAAGCATTTGCTTCCACTTCCCAGCTTAGCGTGCTTTTTTTTTTTAACTTTTTGAAATTAAAATAGTTGACAGACAATATTATGTTAGTTTTAGAGATGAGATGCATCCTTCTTTGGCGGTGGCAGTTAGGAATTTTCAAGATGTTTAAAGCAGCAGCCGACACAATTAAGGCCACAGTTGCCTCACTTTATCGATCTGCTGATGCTAGGATCAGCTTATGACCGTCAGTGGAGGTGTGCTCAAGAGAACTATCTTTAGTTTTCATGGCTTTTGATGGTCCATCCCACCCATGGATTCATGGGACCACAGGTAGGCTCATCTAGACTCTATAGAGATCCTCCTTCTGCCAGTTGTTAAACCTGTTTGGAAGATAAGTGTCCCCAAAAGAAACGTATTGGTATTGCTGGAGACCTCTAATTATTGGACAATACTTCCTTCTACTGAGCCCAAATCAATCTCCTTTTATGGGGGGTGGAGGGGTTGGAGGGACAGGCCAGGCCAGGCCCCAGCCTATTAAGAGTTTCACCCTGAGGAGTTATTTTGCGTTTGAGCTATAAACTGACTTCAGTTTCAGACACTTTAAATATTCATCTCTAGTTTAGGATTTCCTTTCTTTTCCTAATTGGCTATTTTGTGCCTTCACTTAATGCTAATGCCTCTTCGGTTGCCAGACATATGGCCAAGCTCAGCTTCACAAAACTCACCAGTTCTGCCCATCTCACATTGGATTTTGGTGTTCCAACTTTTCTGGTTTGGCTCAGTGGATAGAGTGTCAGCCTGTGGACTGAAGGGTCCCAGGTTCGATTCTGGTCAAGGACATATGCCCTGGTTGCGGGCTCGATCCCCAGCTCCCCAGTATGGGACGTTCAGGAGGCAGCCAGCCAGCCTTTCTCATCATGGATGTTTTTGTCTGTCTCTCCCTCTCCCTTCCTCTCTCAAATCAATTAAAATAATAATTTTTCCAAAGCCGATGCTTACAATATGGTTTACTTTGACATATACTTGTTTATTATAAAACATTTATTTTTAACAAATGGTATGATGTGCTCTAAAGTTCCTTCCCAGTTGTATCAGTAAGCAATTTCAGTATGCACTTCTAAAAGAAATGTTGAAAAAAAAAACGAAATGTATTATCATGCTCAACAAAACTGACAATAACTCTTGTTCAAATGTCCCTGATTGTCTCATAAACTTTTTGTTTTCCAATTAGAATCTAAATTCCAAGGTTTTTAGGAAGCAGGGAGAAACCAATATATACATATTTTTTCTATTCAGTCTCATAAACTTTTAGTGGTTTTTTTCAAATCAGAATCCCAAAGCAGAGTCACATTTATTTGGCTGACTTCTCTTAAGACTTTTACTCTATAGGTTCCCCTCTCTTTTCCTTGCAATTTACTATTAAGGAAATTGAGTTACTTGTCTTATGGTTTCACTTTAGAGTTTGCTATTTACATCCCAATATCATCTAACATGTCCCTCTGTCCAAAGGTTCCCTTAAAAAACATATTTAAATTACATCTATAAATAGTAATATAGATAGTATGTGGTTTTGGCAAAATTGTAAAGGGGCGGGTATGAGTTTGGAAAACACTATTCGAAACCGTCTCCTATGTGCCAGAGCATAAGCCGTCACCACCTCCATGAATGCTTCTCTTCCGTCAAGCCCTGAAATCCCATGTGGAAACCTGCAAAGATTGAAGGTGAGCCTCCTCCTCTACAAACTTCTCAGGACAGAGGTGCGGTACCTCTGGGTGGGCCCTTCAGGTGTGGGCTTCCCAGCCCTCCTCCAGCCCCAATCAGACTGCCTGCCTGTGTCCCTTTCCTGTTCATTAGCATCTCCAATAGGCGCTGGCTTTGGCAATGAAGACTGAAATGGAGGCCTGGTCGCTTTGTCTCTTAGCAGCGTTAATAAAAAGGTGAGTACAATCACTTTCCAAAATTCATTTTTAAATATCAGTTTTATTTTTTCCTCATTAATACAGAAGATAGCTCACAGGAACATTGTCTTGAAAAACTAACCACAAACAAAATGAAATCAGGAAGCAAAAACAAGCCCAAAACACACAAAACATACAACCATGACAAAATTTTGTCAACAATCTAGATTTAGAAATGTAAGAGGCTTGGGAAAGGAATAAAAGATTCTACTTTTATTAGTTCTATCCTTGGATTCATTAAGATTATTTAGGCCTGGCCGGTTTGGCTCAGTGGATAGAGCGTCAGCCTGTGGACTGAAGGGTCCCAGGTTCGATTTAGGTCAGGGGCTTGTGCCTTGCTTGCGGGCACATCCCCAGTAAGAGGTGTGCAGGAGGCGGCTGATCGATGTTTCTCTCTCATCAATGTTTCTAGCTCTCTGTCCCTCTCCCTTCCTCTCTGTGAAAAATCAATAAAATATATTTTAAAAAGATTATTTCGTAGAAGAAGTTTGTGTTGTAAGCTGATGGTTGCAATATTGAAGGTAACAGGGAGACACGAAGAGGAGCCATTTTATTGGGAGATGGGGAGTGACTGATAAAGGGAGAAGAACTTCGGTACATCTGGCAAGACTAAGGTGTTTCTTTGTGCAGTCGGTGCCTGTGTGATGGCTAATGACTCAGGCTCATTATCCGCTCCTCACAAAAGCAGAGGCAGTGCTACTCGGTCTCCTCTCCTCTGTAAAAGAACTACATTGTGGACATTGTTCACAAGTGAGTGGAAGGTTGATGGAGCCTCCTACTGAGCCATGGCTGCATCAGCTCCGCAGCCTGCGCTGGTGCCCGCACAGCTTCCAGAAGATTTTGAAAACGGTACTTAAAAGGCACTAACTAAGGAAGGAGAACCCTTCCTCATGGTTTCCCTCCTCTGTAGGGGAACTGGGCTCTGGCAAAATACAAGGTGACAGGTAGAGAACAGATTTATGCTTTTATCCTGCTCTTCATGGTACTGTTTCCAGACTGAGCAATGTCTTTCCTAAGTTTCAGAGAAACAAGCATACTATAGCAATGCTTACTTGTGTGTTTTTGTAGCACGAGGGTGGAAGGATTATTAAATAAATACTTAAATGCTTGACTCCAGAGATCTTAAAATAGAAGAGTTTAATGAAAAATTAAATAAGTCTACTCTAATGATCTGAATACAAACAACACAACGACTAGAAGTTACCCAAACAATAGGAACCATACTTTTGT